ATTCTTTCTCGATACAAACTTTTAGTACACAGTAAATCCACATTCAGTACATTTCTCGTCACCTTAAACTTAACTACTTTTATAATACCCACTAAGTCACAGTGATTCACAATCTTGATAACAAAACATACACTAGCTCGAAACAGAATAGTAAATTACTCGGAACTCTCTTCATTCAATCCCGCAGGCTTTCACTACCAGGCTTATATACTAAAAAAGAGGGCGTCTCAAACAAACTTACCCGATAATTTATGATCAATCGAGAAATTTCACGCACGCTACCAGTGCCAAACATGCCAGCAGCATCAGTTGACTTCCAATGTCGTAACAATATGTTTGTACCCAATAACAGAAGCTACATTCCCATTCTTTCCAGCAACTTTTAGTGAGCAAAATCTACATTTAGTGTTTATTGATCAGGAATGACCTTAATTGGTCATTGAGGCTTCTATTAATTTTTTTTCTTTTTTGTTGTTTTTCAACTGAATAGGCCAAATATCAATTTAACATTTTTTTCATGCTCAATGGGCATTGTTTATTGTCCAAGACTTGTGTGAGTGTAATTGCTACAGCATTTTAAGGTAAAGTATATGACTTTTTTGTTTCTTTTTTTATTATGTTTTCAATTTAGTACAACATTATTTTTAAGACACTTATTGGACACTATATAGTTAAGTTTAGGAGCCCTTTCAGACTATACCTAGAACATCATTACAGGTCCAGTGAAACTAGTGGCTCATGCAAATCATTTATTTCCTAGGGTAAGTAGATCCCAAATTTTTTTCTTAGCCTGTTTATAAAATAAAGTTCAACCAAATTGTGTATAGACTAGTCAATAAATTAACACAACATTATTAAGCTGATAACGAGAGGTGTTACTTTGTGCAATCTGTAGTTAAGTCTAAATATATGTATATAGTATCTTTGCAGTTTCTGTTCAAATATTGGAGTCTCTTCCTCCAATCGCAGATGGAGAATTTAGATTTAAGATTAAAGTTACGCTGTAGTGGATTGGGTATCCTAAATAAATGATGATGTGGCTAAAAGATAAGAGCAGTTTTCTCCTGACCTTAATTGGCAGCTAAAACAAGAACAGATGCTACTTGTATCAACAGGATTGAAAGTGATGGGTGCAGGCAATTACATCTGTGTTGTAGACAATTATCATAGTCATAGATCATTCAGTACATTTCTGGTTGTTAGAAGAAGGTTGTGTAACACAAAATGGAAAAACTTGGAGTAATGAAGTCAAAGTTTGGTTTAAAAAGTGATTTTGATCATTTTTAAGGTGTGAAATTAGGAAAACTGAAATATATATATATATCTAAAGCCTATTGATGGAAACTCTTGTATATGTACTTTAGTTTAGTTTACAGGAAAGGATTTTTTTTTTGTCTACAATCTCAACATTCTGTAATATTCTCTGATTTGTAAATACTTTTAATGGTAATGGCTCCCTCTGATGTTGTGATTTATTTTTTGAGCTCAATGTATCATTAAGACTCATTATTATTCATGTACATTTATATATTTCTGTAGCTGAATAATTATCTTAGACAATTGTTCATAAATTCTATATCAGTGGTTTCCAAACTGTGAGGTGCATACCCCTGGGGAGCATGGCCTTTTGCCAGGAGAGCCCAAAAATAAATAGCAATGAAAGAAGCAGAAAGTACAAACAAATAATTTGTTAACACTTTAAATTTTACTGCTAATGCTTAAGAAAAACACTGATTAAAGAGAAGCAAAGAAACTACTGTATTTGCTGTTATTATCACTTGTGAAAATTATTCAGTATGTAGGAAGGGGCCCTGAGAAAAATAATGCTGAGTTGGGGGGCACAACTACATAAAGTTCAGAAACCACTGCTCTATGTGTATACAGATGCAAATGCAAAAGAAAAGTAAAAATTTAAATAGAAAAGAAGAGATGCAAGCGGTAAAAATATTATTTATTTGTTTTCTGGGAAAAAATTATGCTTGTATTCTGTGCGGAAATGGGTTCTGGATCATTCAGATTGTAAAAACAAAATTGAAGATAGATGAAAGGACTATTTCTATTAAAATATTATGATAAATTAAAAACCCATCACAAGTCTTTAAAGAAGCTCTTTTCATTGGAATGAATATCAAACTTTCCATCTTTCTCTCTACTTTATCAATGAATAGCACTTAATATTAGAAGTTGTCACTTCATGATTCTGGTTCAAACAGTCAACTCCAAAAATGAAGGATGTTCTCAATAGTAGCAGAAAGTATTATTCATTCATACTTTTTATTGCTAATTTGTATATAGGAATGTCTATAATAGGATTTAGTTGTAATCAGCCTATTCTATTGAGCAACATCTTTCAGCCTTTGGCTTGTGCAGATGAGGAACTATTGGAGGGAAGGAAAACAAAAGGGGCAGAGAAGAATGTGTATGTTAAAAGGTTATAGTTATAGGTGATTCCTTGATAAGACATGTGGATAGGATAGTCTATGGGGTAAATAGGGAGAATAGAATTAGATTATGTTACCCAGGGGCACAGATGGAGGATATAACTGACAAAGCAGGAGATATAATAAAGGGGGCTAGCAGAGTTGCAATTTCTGTTGTGCACACAGGGGCTAATGATGTAGGGAAAGGTAGATCAGAGGAGCTAATTGAAAGGGGGTTGATAAAGGCATTTAAAGAAAAAGGCCATAAGTTAATTTTGTCAGGGATACTGCCCAGACTTAATTTTGGGGATGAAGTTATAAGTAGGTCACTAAGACTAAATTCTAGGCTTAGATTAATATGTAAGGATGAACAGATTGGCTGGTTGGACTTGTGAGATAAGTTCAATGAAAGAAGGGAGCTTTTTGAAATGGATGGTTTACATTTAAATAGGATAGAGGCTGGCTTGTTTGCTAGGGCTATTAACTTAGCTGTAAAAGAAGTTTTAAACTAGGACTAGACAGTGGTGAGGGCCAGGATGAACTAAATGCAAAAAGAATAAGGCATAGAAAAGTTTAACATAGGAAATGAGTAAAGAAGTAATTATAAGGGTAGGCTTAATTTTTATTATTGTAGTACTAGAAATATAAGAAATAATATAGATAACTTTAGAGCACTGGTAGGAATGGAGGATTTTGATATAATGGGAATGACTGAAACATGATTAAATGTAAATGATTTTGATGACAGAAATTTCTTTGAAATACAGGGTTACAAGCTATTTAATAGAGATGAATTACTAAAGAGAGGGGGAGGTGTGGCTTTTTGTGTAAAATGTGAGTTACACCCTGTTAAAGTTGAGGATAACAAAGATAATAGCAGGGAGATTGAATTCATTTGAGTTTCTATTAGTGGATATTAAAGGAAAAGGCTTTTAGTGGGAATTTGATACAGACCGCCAAATGATATTGATGAAACTAGAGAGAAACTTCACAATGAGATTAAGATTTCAGCTGTTTTTGAAGCCATAAATATGGGTGATTTTTAATTTCAGGCATATAGATTGAGAAATGCTAGAGGGTTTTTGGAAACTGTTAAAGAAGGCTTTCTTCACCAATTAGTCAAGGAAACAATCCTATCTTCAATTTGTTGTTAGCTTCAAACACAGAAATAATAGAGGGTAGAAATTATGGAACATCTGGGTGCAAGTGATCATTTTTGGAAAGGGTTCAGAGAAGGGTTACTAGAATGATGCCTGGGATAGGATGGAAGGGTTGTCATTATGAGGAGAGGTTGAAATCTATCAAGTTGTTTTCTCTTGAGAAAAGAAAATTTAGATGAGATCTGATTGAGGTATTTAAGATTAAGGGAATTGATAGTGTTGAGGCATAATCTTTTTCATATTTAATGGTGAGAATGGTAGGACTAATGGACAAAAATATAAATTTTGGCATGGTATGAGTTATCTTCAGCTAAGACAGTTTTATTTTTCTAACAGGGCGATTAGCCTTTGGAACAGGTTGACTTCAAATGTTGTGGAGGCAGTAAATTTAATTGAGTTTAAGAGAAAGCTTCATAACTATATGAATCAAAAGGGCTGGCTTTGAAGGTTTTTTTATAGTTTTAGTTTTGTTTCGGGAATGGAACAGCCTAGATGAACCAATATGTTCCTTGTTATCTCTAAACATTGTTATTGTTACGACAGCGGAAGTCACTCAACGAGTTTCTAGAAGGATCGTGACTTATCGAGGAACCCCGCGAATGTCCCAGTGTTTGCTAGACACCCTCTTTTTTTAGTATATAAGCCTGGCAAGAAAAACCAGTACACTTGCAGAGGCAGATAGATAGATAATTGAGTCAAGCGAACAGTAGGCACCATAAGTAAAGTGTGTGAATCACTGTGATTTATAGCATGTGTTATAAAAGTTGTTAAATGTATTACAAAGTTTGTATTGAGAAAGAATAAACTTGTTTTAATCAAGAAGGGACTTGTATCGGTGAAGTTTCTCGGAAAGAATTTTTACCAGAAATTATCAAACAACCAGATACATAACATTATGTTAAAATAAGCTATTCATTGAATTAAACTAACATAATATACATGTAATATAAATAGGAAAATATTTTCTTATGACCAAATAAATGTTTTGTACTTGCATGTACACACATATACACACATTGTTTTCATAGAAGTAGTACTCCTAATGAGTTAACCAACAAGTGCTTTGTTTCTGTAATCATCATGAGTTAACCAGTTAATGGTTTGTTTCTATCATCATCATGAGTTAACCAATAGATGCTTTGTTTCTATTATTATCGCTAGTTAACCAATAAGTGCTTTATTTCTATTAACATCATGAGTTAACCAATAAATGCTTTGTGTCTATCATCATCATAACAACCCAGAACTTGGTTTTTAGAGATTAAGTAGGTTTTTTTTTTTTTTGTTTGTTTGTTTTTATAGCTCCACCAAGCAAACTAACCAATGTTACTGTACATCCTTCAACAGTTGTTGCCACAGTTCGCTGGCATCTTATTAGCGATGGGGGATATCCTGTTACACATTTTACTCTGCTCTATTATCCACTTGTTCCTTCTAGCAACAAAACTAGGCAACTTCCACTGCCTGTACACATAAGCCCAGCAGCTGTGAGTTTGGGTTTTGATGATTATTCATACATCATAGTTAAATTGTGTTGTATATACATGCTACATGTACATGTGTGTGAATTGTTTTAAACCTGTCTAATGCTTTATATTTTTTATTTAGCTAGTTTTTAGTTTAGATTTGAAAAACGAGCATAAAATGACTGTTCTTTAAAAAATGTATACATTGAAGGAGTGTATTATTTCATTATAATCTATATGTGAATTTAACAAATAAATCTGGAGTACTTAAGGACATGTACAAAATCTGTTACTTTCTTAAACATTTTGTGCATTTGAGTTAAAATGAAAATGGGCCAAAAATTACGACTTCTGACCTGTTCTTTTTATACGTGTGTGTGTATGTGCTGTACGCTTTATGAAAGATAACTTTAAACTTTAAGATCAGTATTTTTTCTGGTACTAAGCTACTTTTATTCAACTAGTAATAGGAAAATGTCTTTAGATTTAAAAAAATATTGTTGAAGCATCAAAATGCTTTTGCTTTTTAGAGACAGTTCTTCATTTATCACTTGTACCCAGCAACACAGTATGTATTTCGGATTTGGGCTACCAACAGATTAGGACCTGGAGAGGCTTCTACAGTGCAGGCAACTACAGTTAGGCCCATAAGTCCACACGGTTAGTAATAAACTTTGTCATAGTAACTGTTTTGAGTTTTAAGTAATAGAATTAGCAAAAGCACTTGTGTATATATATGCATACAATGTATTAGACAGAAATAAAAATGTACTTAGTGTTGAACTGTTTACTTATCTGATATAAATAAAATTAGTATATACCAATGCTAGTGTTCATTTTTGTGGCCTATTATATCATTGCTTAAAACTAAAAATAAGGAAAATGTTGTTTGTTTCAAATGGCACAGTATTCTAACAAAAATTGTACCAATAATTGTAGTCAGCTAAAAATAACATGTAGAAATAATGTCACTGTTGGACAAACAGTTGTGTGTTTAGTCATATTATTTAAAAATAAAAGTGAAAAATTATCACCATATTTATTGTTGGAACAAGATAGGAGTAAAAACTAATGTTATTTTTAGTAGGTTGGATTCATTCTCAGTAACTTCAGTGTCACACGTTTACTGTTATCAACATATTTGTAAGTTTTCAACATTGTATATTGAGTTCATTTTTTGTAATGTTAACATTCTACATTATTAGGTGAGACACTTTTTCAATCATTGTGGATGTCTTCATCTGTTACACTTATAAATTACTTTTATCCATGGAACAAAAATAATTTATACATATTTGGAGGTAGAGTACTTTTCATTTATAAAATTAAAGTAGCTTACATATTTTGTATATATTCTTTCCATGTTTTTTTTACTATACATGTGTTAATTTTTTTGGACATTTTCTTGTTATTATCAAGAGCATATCATAATTACAGTATTACACAACTTTAGTTAAAATTTAAACAAAGTCACTAACTATCTGTTTTTCTGAAGATCATGATTTAATAGTGAAAAAAATACTGTTTACTGTTGTTAACTTCTAGAAAAAAGTTACTCAGTGTGAAGGTCATAATTTCTTTTATGTTCTCTTTTATACTACAACACATGATAGACACTGACATGAACAAGAATATATTGTATGGCATTACCACAATGTTGTTTAATAAGTATAACTTTCTAGAGTATTGTTTGATTGTCTTTTTGCTTTTGTTTTTTGTAGAAATAGTGGAATATTTAACAAAGTCTGAAAGTCAATATTCTACCTCATCTGTCTGGATGATTGGGATTTTGTTGGTGGTCGGATTTGTCCTGTTATTGCCAGTTTTGAGCTGTATATTGATCTGCAAAAATGAGCATAATAGTATGTAACAAATTTAAAGTTCTTCTAATCAAATAAAAATATTTCAAACTCTGTCTCTTGATAAGTGATCAAGACAAAAATAGTTGTTTTTGAAATACCTAATATTTCATCTTAAGCTGAATAAAGTGTGAGAACTGTTGTACCTACTAGGGTTTGACTGGATAAAAAGTTACCAAACACAAAAAATACTATATTCATGGTGACTAGTAATGTTTAGTTTTTGTATTTGATAGTGATGAGAAACATAGCAGTCTAAACTTATTTATCAGATAGCCAACGAAAAAATGTACTTTATATCTCTGCAGTCACATGATAATGTTTCTCTGTTAGTTAAGTATTGTACTTACCTTGTCAGTATTATTTTATGAAACTATTGCATTGAATGCAAATCTGTCAAGTTTAAGTTTTTGGTTGCTGTATACATCTGAGAAATTAAGTCGCTCAAAATATATGTTAGATATACATGATTGTTAATTTTAAATTTATTTGAGAGTATTGTTTAGTTTATATAGTGCAAGCCTTAAAGTAAATTATTTTTAGAAGCGATAGTTATGACAAATTCCAACACATCGCTGACACTGACAGCTATTTCTTGACCTTCAGCTTTGCCCATCTAAGTATTGGTCTTGCTTTCTCCAGTCTTTTATACCCCACTTAAATGCCCTTGGCAATATTTACCTCATGATTATCTCAACCTATGTCAATGCGTCTTCTATCCTGGTACTGTGTATAAGCACCTCACTCAGATAATGTGATCACTTTTTTTCGACAAAGCGTTTGGTGACAGTTTTCTCTGATGCTGTGCTTCGTTACATTATTGATTATGATCTTGGCATCGCCTTGCGGATTTCCATATAATTATAATTTCCTAAAAAAAGAAAGTTGACAAGCTGTTTTTGGGTTTGAATTTCCATATTACTGCTGCCAGCACAGAGGCTAATCAGACCTCCTCCACCTTTGTTATCTAGCGCCACTCAACGGTTGGGAGGGGGGGGTCACTTTCAGTTGAGGCTGTCTGTGATTTGATCAGTTGTGAGATGGAGACATATAATCAGCCCAAGGGGGTCTCTTTTGGGGGTTCTGAGGCTTCTTCTCTTGATGATCCAAGACATTCTGGGGAGAAGTTGGACTTGGTTTTTCCAGTGCCCTTCTTTACTTGGTCAGCTTCTCACAAGACAATTTTGGATGAACCAACTCCTGCTCCTTTTTTTCAATTAATTACTCAGGTTTGTGGGATTTTGGGGCTTTCCCCAGTTGCCTTTGAGTCTACTCCTTCTTTTATGGCAGAAATATCAGGGGAGGACTACTTAGTTTTTCCTCATCCATCTGATATTGCTGGTGAGGAATAGCTATCAGTGTTAGCTGAGGTAAGTATTATTGGAAATACATTTTCAATTTAGGAAAATGTTAACTTTGCTTACATAACTGTTTATGAATCATTTGTTGTGAATTGACATCATGTTACTTGAAGCTTCTGAATTTTTCTCACTGCTTTAATCGAGTATTGTTGCATCATATAATGTCTAATAGTGTGTAGGAAGTTCTGGATTGCTGTCAAGATAAATATATATATATATATATATATATATGTGTGTGTGTGTGTGTGTGTGTGTGTGTGTGTTGAAAAGTAAAAAGATAGATATTGACTGAATATCATGAATTCAGACATAAAGAGTGTACAGTGGCAACTTTCAAAGTGTAATAATCACAGATTGTATTGTAACAACAGAGTAGAGAAGAATAATTTGTTGTGTCAATTGGGTTCTAAAGTAAGTGTGGGAGGACACCTAGGAGCAAAGAAGACAGCAGACAGAATCACTAGAAAATTTCATTGGCCAGGGGTCATCAGAGATGTGACCAGATTCTGCTGGTCATGTAACATCTGGCAAAGTACAATATCTAGAGAGAATGTAGCCAAGGTGCCACTGGGTGAGATACTTCTCTTAGAAGAACCATTCAGCAGAGTAGCTGTGGACTTGATTGGGCCACTCGCACTTGTATCTGACAAGGGCAACCAGTATGTGCTGACAAGAGTTGACTGTGCAACGCCTTACCCAGAAGCCATAGTCACTTAAAGCAGTTTGATATAGTGTCAAAGAGCCAGCATGGTTTCACTGAGGGAAAGTCTTGTTTATTAACAAATCTTCTGACATTCTTTGAGGATGTTACTGCAAGAGTTGATGAAGGAAATACTGTGGATTTGCTTTACCTTGATTTTAAGAAAGCATTTGATAGGGTGTCTCACAAAAGACTTGTTACAAAAATTAAATCTGTGGGTGTGGGGGGAATGTTATCAAATTGGATAGAAAATTGGCTGGAGAGTAGTACTAAATAGAGTTAGATCTGATTGGATCACAGTTACAAGCAGTGTGTCTCAGGGCTCTGTGCTGGGTCCTCTGCTGCTTGTGATTTATATTAATGATATTGACTCTGAAATGACTAACAAAATTTTGAAGTTTACACATGACATTAAGATTTTTGGGGTGGCTAACTGTATCAAAGATGCTGCAGACTTACAAGGAGACTTAGATCATTTGATGCATTGGACCAATACGTGGCAGATAATGTTTAACTATCCAAAATGTAAGGTGATGCATGAAGGTTTTCACAATTCAAATTATTGTTATGATTTAAATAGGAATACATTAAATACTGTGGTTGAAAAAAAATCTTGGCATTGTGATAGAAAAATCACTAAAGTCATCTAAGCAGTGTATTGTAGCTAGCAATAGGTCTGATAGGATTTTGGGTAGCATCTATAAAAATATTGAATACAAGACAAGGGATATTATTGTTTCACTGTATAGATCACTTGTAAGGCCTCATTTAGACTACTGTGTACAGTTTTGGGCTCCCTTTCCTCAAGAAGGATATTGAGTTGTTGGAGAAGGTTCAGAGAAGGTGCTAATGTTGCTATGTAACACTGAATTAACCAAGGAATTTGCATGAAAAATTACACCAAGTTTTTATGCTAATTTCATTATTTATTTTACATATAATACAATCATCAATTACTATCTTCATCATCTTCCTGGTCTTCATGTTCCCTAGTGTTCTCTCTAGTTCTTCTCTGCCTAACTTTGGCCAGACATTCAATACACAATACCTATAATTACCACAAATAGTAATTATTAATATATTATCATTTATGTTAGCAAATTTCATTAGTTGATCATTAATATGGCATATGTCTAAATATTTAGCATCCATATTTTTTTGCAAATTGAAAAGGAATAGCAAATTAGCTAGGTTTTAAGATAAAGCAACAATATCAAATGTATAGTATATTGCATTCAATATAAGTGCAACTTAATTCCATTCACTTTGCTTTCATAATATAAATGGCCTAGGTTGAATTACCTTTAACTGCTTCTACCAGTGAGGGGCCATTTTCAGTGTCTTTTGGATATTGTTCTCAACATCTTTTGTGTTAGCTGTGGCATGGTTTTCTTAGCAGCTTCTGTTAAAAGATATGATGAAATATAGATTAGCATACAGTGTCACACATGTATATGTCAATCACATTATGGCAACATAATATTTTGATCCCTGAGCATATCTCGCAGTTATTTTAGGCTGTGTAGTTCTATGTCTAACCTGTCATAAAATGGCACCAGCCAGAAGTATGTATACTTTCAGTAGGATGCTGATAACACTGGCTGAAGTGATAATTACAGGAATTACATTGACACAAAATGCATGAAAATAGGCATATGTAGAGAATTATGATCTATAAACCTTCTAGGATATGTTTTTACTTGTTATTTTATGATAAATGGTATACTTACATAGAAATTTCAATGATTAATGGAGGCATACAATATTTCAGCTTCGTCGTTTGAACATCACACTTTTGCTGGTGTACTGAATATTAGCAGGCTACAGTTGAGTCCAGGCAAAGCTGGTAATAGGCCCAGGCCAAATAGGAAATGTAGGCCCCATTTCAAACTGCTCATTAAGTATTTTTGTAATCAGTGCTAAATACATATGATTTATGTATGGGTATATACATGTATGTAGTGTACATGATGTACTTACAAGTAACAGAAACGAACAAAAGAACTAGAACGATTTATAAAAAAAGGTAAATGCAAGCAAAATGTATATAAGACAACAGAGTATAGTACTATAATAAGAAGCAGTAAATACAATAGTACATTGATGTTTATTCTGTATTCGAAAGTAGGCCCCCTCAAAATTGTAAACCCATGCCAACTGCCCCCTCTGTTCTGGCCTGCAATTGACTGCATGTATAGAATTTATGCAAATGTTTCATTTTCAAATTTATTTATTTGTTATGTATATACAAACAGATGACTGGGAAGTTATATATGTTCATTTAATATGCCAAATTAATTGGAATATTTACAAGCTAAATGTTTTACAATATATATGTTGTTTGTGTAGTGTGCCCTAGCTAGACCAAATCGTAGAAACATCAATGATTTGAAATGGACTACGATAGAAAATATTCTAAAAATGTCCTAGAAAAATATTCAGATAACATCATAAAGATATTTACAAAATGTTTTCTCAATGTTTTTAAAACTTTTTCATGAAATGTTTTCTTGAAAATATATATATATATATATATATATATATACTAACCTTAAAG